GGGGGGCCTGGGGGGGGGGGTGGGGGGGGTGAAGGTGTGTGTGTTTGGAGATTTATTTTTAATTCTGAGGCAGGAAAAGGAGGGGTATTTTGCACCACTTCTCAAAAAAGAAAGATGTTGGCTGTGGATCTCCTCACCCTTCCCATTTCATCTGTCAAATGGACCGTTCCTTGCTGTCTAAGTTTCACTTACATTATAACGAGTCATAACATTGAAAAGGAAAAGATGATGGAATTGTCTTTGTGTTTGTTTTGGGCTCAATTTCTAGGCGTACTGTCCTGGCAAATATTTAACACTCCATCTAGTGCAGCAGAAGTTGAAATCAGTGGGGTATTTTTCAATGAAAAGGGGAAAGAACTAATGAGTTAGCTACTGAGTCCATTTTTATGATTTCTGTAACAAGAGCTATGTTAAAGTAAACAATTGGTGGTGGTTTTATTAAATTTACTCCTGTATAGGAATTCCTTCTGTGGTATTTTTCGCCAGGCTAGTGTCCTCAAAAGTTTTCTGCCAATTTGCAAGCTCCAAGGGGGAATAAATCTGCAAAGGGGCACATTAAAAAAGGCAGCTCTGTCATGTGCTGTGCTTTTTGCAGCTGGCACCTGGGTTGTTTCACCTTCCTCGTTGATGAATATTGACACTTCTAGTGCTGCAGTTTTGTCCCCTTGTACCTGCTTTCTACTTTGGATTATTATAAATATTAAAAAATTGTAAGTATAATCCATTATAAAAATGGATTATTTCCCCCTGGGAGTTACACATGAGAATATCTGCACTGCAGATGCTTTCCTTGTGGTTTTCCTGCCATGGCTCGTGAGGGGTGGGATGGAGCAGGGCTGCCTTTTGTCAGTCTCTACCTGCAAGGGGGGGCTACTTAGGCTTCCCCTTGCCTCACCAAAATTCTCCAGCCCTGTATTAAAATGCTTTTAATTTAAAATTGTAGAGAAGAATTTACCAGGAAAACAGCTGAGCAATTCTTTTAACTGTTTCAAAATTGCTGTTGTGAGACGGGAAACCTCGCAGTGCTCACCTGAACATGTGTGAAAACAAATATTCCTTTACCCTGAGATTTCTGCAATAGAAAGAAAGTTGCAGCGCTCACCTAAACATTGGAAAAAAGTATTTCTTCACTGTGAGATTTCTGCAGTAGAAAAACAAAACCCCCAAAATCAAAACCAGACCTCTCTGTAAAAAGAGATGTCTAAACTATATAGTTTGTAAGAGAATAGGAGGAAGTAATAGCATACCCCCTCCTCTCCACATTTATCATTTTCCTATTTAATATAGCCCAGATGCTGAACTAAAAGGTCTCCCAAGGATCTTTTTATTCCAAAGACAAAACACAAAGCAACACACGGAGATCTGAGCGAGTGGAAGCACAGACTCGACAGGGTGTTGGCTTTTTCTCCCCTAGAGTATATCCAACCTGAAGGAAACCTGGCCTCTATCATCTGAATCCTGATGGCTGATGAGAAACCTTAAGATAATGATGATTAAAACCTTGTTTTGTGGGAGTCACCTGCTGCTCTTCCTCTCATCTAACTTTCAGGTGCTCCCACAGCAATTACATGTCTGTGAGGACACCGTCCCGGCTAAAACCGGCTTGGAGAACCTCCTGTGTGGAAAACGCAAAGGAGAAAATAACCCTGGTCCCGCCTGGTGAGGGGCTGCAGCTGCGAGGGGTCTCAGTGCCCTCGGCCGCGGCATCCCTCCTCACTCACTGCCTCCTTCCATCTTACACCGAATCAACTCTTACTCATAAACTTAATTTTTATTACTTTATTTTATATAATTTGCTGTTTTTCGCCGGGGTTTTTCTCCGAAGACGGCAAAGAACCGAGGTCCTCCCACCGCCACCTTCCCGTCAGGCTTAGCGACGGGTTTCTCTATCGTAACCCGGAAGTGCTTCCGTCGGTCGGACGGTAACCATGGTAACGGGCTGCTCCTTCCCGCCGCCGGCAACATGGCGGAGCCTCAGGCAGCAGCGGTGAGGAACCGCCGTCCCTTTTCCCGCCCAGCGAGCCGGGAGTGCCTGGGGAGGGGCTGCAGCGGGGCTGAGGGCTGAGGGCTGAGGGCTGAGGGGAGGCCGGGGCGGCGGAGGGAGGTGCCTATAACAGCGAATTTGTAATCTTGGTACACTTCGTGTTAAAAACACAGTGAAAATGTAACCTTTTTCTGATTTTTATTGAGCTAATTTAGTGAAACATCTTTCTCTACGGTCATCACAGCTCACTTGGCCGCGTTTATTCGGTGCTTTTCCCTCATGATCGGTAAAATTTCCCTCGTTCCCCCTGCTGTATTGTTCAACTTGATTTCTTATAATCTAAATGTTCCTAAGGAAAATAAATGGGCTTGGAATAAGGCAAAAAAAAAAAAAAATCCTTACAGGGATAAATATAAGGTTTAAAGGTGAGGAGCAGAAAGAAGGAGTAAATACTCTTTTTTGTGTGTGTGTGTGAGTGTAACGAAGCTCTTGAAGGAATCTGTATCAGGCCTGTGGTGTTGTTCGATACATCTAGAAATTATCTGGATAAAAAGATCGATAGAGAATTATTCAGGTGAGGAGGAAATACAAGAAACTACAGAGAAGTCTTGTGCTGAATGACAAGACTTAGAATTGGAATGATGTGTACGGATTAAAAAAAAATGCAAATATGTATTTAAAAAATGAAGAGCTTTGTGCTGGTTGTTGCTGCTTAGGAACGAGTTATTGGAGTTGGGTAATTCTATGAAAATATTGACTCAGCTTTTTACAAGATGTCCTGAGCAAAGCCAGGACACAACAAGAATCAGAAAAGTGAATAAAATCTTAGAAATTATTAAGAAAAAAAGCTGGTAAAAGCCTTTCCTGTATACATCTGGGTTATTTCCACATCTTGGATACTGTAGGTGGTTTTGGGCCTCCCCACCTCCAAGAAAAAAAAAAAAAGAGTAGAATGATAAAACATTAACAAAAGTTTACAAGGTGTAAGTGTAGACTGAATCTCCACTTAAAAAAATTATTTATTAAAGAGAGGGGAGGTGATACAGGTCTATAAAATCAAAAATAAATGTTTTGTGTTTGGAGGAGTGGGGAATGTCTTTTCTCCAAGAAACTGGAAGTCAAAAATGAAAATGCTTCCCTGTGCAATCATGTTCCTCTTCTCTGAAGGCTTGATTTTTGTTGCAAAGTAAGAAAAAAGTATAAAATGCCTTTGTTTTCCATGGACTGGCTACCTGCTTGTCTGTGAACTCTGGCCAATATTTGCAGGTTGAGGTTTGTTGCCTGCCATATTGTCCCTGGGATGGGACGTTCCCCAGGAATGACTTTGTTCTAATTAACCTTATAAATGTTTTAGAATAGATGTTTTTGCTATTTTCCTGTGTGATCTGTAATTAGCATCTTAAGTGCTTGAGTTTTTTTTGTTTTTACAAGGTAATGATCACTTTCTAGAATCCTAATAAATGGTAGCGAGCCTATGGAACAGGAATATGCTGTAAAATGTGAGTTGATTTAATATACACGGCAAACAGAAATCTCTCTCTGGCTCTGGCTAGGGGAGGGCAGCACTTGGCAGGGCAGAGTTTCTAGCAGCAATGATGCTATTTTTATGCCCTCTTTTGTGACTTTCCAGTTGTCCTTTCTGATTATTTTGTAGAATAGATCTTCAAGAAACCTTACCTAGTGTATTTAAGGCTCCTCTTTTTTACCTTTTCAGCTTTCTTCATTGCCAGCGGCTACAGGACCTGCAAAACGCCGTCCTAAAAAAGGTTTGTTTGAAGATATGATTGTGTGTCTTACACTGCTTGATTTTAAGATTTCTTTATAGTGCATGCAGCTGTTTAGTAAGAAATAAATGTCCACTGGGAAAGGATGAGGCTATCTAGACTGTAAGCTGCTGCGTAGAAGTATTTTTTTTAGGGTCTGTATGTTCACTAGCTCAATACTATTGCTGACTGACTTATTGCACCTAGTGCCTGTATTATTTTTGCTTATAATCAAAGAGACCGTTGATTTTATTGTGTATATACTTGTTGGGCTGCTGGTGAGTTTGATACTTGTTTATCTTCTTAATTAATAAGAGCAGTTTGTTAATTTTCAGTTCTGCAGAATAATGTCTTGCTGTAGAAATGAACTTGGGAAAAAATGTTGATTTTTCATCTTACATTTTCTAAGTTTTGAAGAAAAAGAGATGTGCAAGTGAGATTATAACTGATTTCAGTTATAGTTTGTTTAGATTTGGATTTTTTTTTTCTCATACTGCAAATGAGAGTTAATTAACTTAGTTCCAAGTTGTTGTTTTGAAATCTTGAGTGAATCTGAACTGGAACAGGAATGATTTCAGTTACTGGCTTGACTAAAACCTGATGTTCTGTAAGGTGTCTGGTAAATCCTGCAGCACAGTTTGGTGTTGCAGCCTCTCCTTTCCCCTCTTTCCTTGCTCTCGTGATGTGACTTGTTCCAGCACACGTGATGAGCGTTTCCTTCTCTGCATTGCTGAGCTGTGCTCACATTCCTAGTACAGATCTGTTCACTGTAGTGACTCTTGCACCTGTCTAAGGTGAGGTTTGGGGGGTTTTTTTGGTGAATTTTCCTTTCTCAAGTGTCCAGAGGGCCCCATCAATTCAGACTGTAATTAAGAGTGAACTCTGCAGTGTTGCTAGAACCCCATTGTACTTGTGGTGTCAGTCAGAAGCAGTCCTCCTTTTCCCTTGCCTTTTAATTCAGGGACCCGCAGTTGGGGAGCGCTGTACCTTGGCCTTTATCTACCCTGAATGTGTGATGTCAGAGTACACTTTGGGAGGAAACCTTCCGTATTTCTAAATTCCTTGTGATGCAGACTGCCTTGGTGGTAACGCTGGCATCAAAAAGGAGCTTGTTTGGCAACCGGGTGCTGCAGCATAGTTTCTGCCTAACGGTGAAGTTCTTCATCTCCGATGTAGGCCCTGGGAAACTGGAAAAGCCCCTTTGCTTTTGTTTTGGGGAGGTCAGGCTAACTTCACATAGTTCCTATTCCTGGCAGTAGAATTCCAGCACTTGAGCAGAATATGGCCGTCCTGGAGACAGCGCTTGAGGTTCCAGTAGACCTACGGCTGTTGGCTTGCACAAGTCTGAGCTTCTTTTGTATGTTGCCCAGAGCTGGCAGGAAATGATTGCTACTGCTTCAGACCTGTATGCAGGTGAAAATAAACCCAAAATTTACTTTTATCTTGACTGCTAACTCTTTTAGAGTTTTGCTTCCATGGAGACACTGATTCTTTCCTTAACGAGATGGTTTGTTTCCATCCTTTTCTATAAAGATTACGAGACTGATCTCCTCGTCCGTGGTAACCCCCACCTTGTTCTTCCTCGTCATGCATGTCCCATTTATAATATTTGTGCTGTTTTTACAGGACAGCGTATGTTTGCAGTTCTCTAAATAAAACATTTGTAGAGGGATCAGGCTGATGGTGTTTGGCAAGAGATGGACTATCACTCCGGTGCTCTTTCCTGGCAGATTGAGGTCTATTAAATCAACTCTGCATAATTCATGAGCGAACGGAATAGCTGAAAAAGAAAGATGGGGCCATCAGCCTTACAAACAAGCGGTGGAGATGTGCTGGATAGAAGCTCTCATGCCTCTGTCAGCTTGCTTGTTAAGCTCTCCGTCAAGTGCCTTCCTGCTTTTAAGTGTGCGCAGTTTCATATCGATCGTTTGGGAGAATGAACTGTGGCAGTCGCAGCTTTCCTAATGGGGTGGCTTTTGTGGATCCCGCCTGCTGTTTGATAAAGAGCTACTTGTTCGTGCCTGCTGAGGAGGAGTTTTCTCTCCTACTCAGCATTTTGCATTAACAGCCCTGCAACAGAGCTGGATGCTTCTTTAAAAAGGGCCACCAATGCTCCTTTGGGTTTTAAGGTTGCAAGTCCAAGGCTGGGTAAAGGCCATGTGAAAGAATCGGTCTGTCTCCATCTCCAGCCGATGTTCCTTCCACCTCCTTCCTTTGGCATTGGTGTTTGCACAGCTGCGTGCCAGGGGGGAGAAAGTAATAAATGAAATCTAGTTATTCATGACTCTGGATCTCACTTTTATACTGATATGACTCAAAATTAACTATAATGAAGGAAAAAAAAAAATCTAGCCTGTGACTTTTGTAATTGTTTTGTGTCTTTTAAGGTGAATTGAGGCGTCTCCAGTACCTGGCACGCCTCAGGTAGTTCAGAAATTAAATGCCTTGGAAGCCTTTGTGCTTTGCCTTTTAACATTTGACTGTGTTGCCTTGAGTGCAGTGGGCAAAAGCTGATTTGAGCTGCCCGATTGTTAATCTCTAGGAAATGAGGGCAGCAAAAAGATTTGTAATGGGGAATGATATAACAGCATCCTTTGTGTGTGGGTGTGATGCTGGGGGCATCGAGAGGAGGGGAGAGAAGGAAGGTGATGTTCTATATGCTTTTGTGGAGTTTGAAAGAATAGTATCTTTTTCCCATTGCATATTTGTTTTTTTTTAATAAGATTTTTCTAGATGATCTTAATGAAGGCTCTCATCTTATTTTCCTATTTTAGTTTGGCTGAGGAGAATTGTAGTCAACTTTAAGGAGCCAGGCAAATGGACATCAGTTCTGTTTGAATAGAAGAGTGCTGCTAAACTTATTTTACCATGACATTTTTAAACACTGAATGCTAACTCTGTTGCAGCAATTTGCCTTTTTTTTTTTTGTTTGCATTGTTTTTTCAAATAGGATGCAAGAGAGACTGAAACCAACATCAGTGCAAACAGGTCTGTGAAAAAACAGAGACCATATGGTATATTATAGTCTCCTATAAACAGTTTGGTATGGATAAAATTTGTGCCCAAATAGAGCATATATTGCAATAACTAAATAAAGTTGTTGTGCACAGATGGAGTAGAGTATGACCAAGTCATTGCTGAGCTCCTAACTTTAATTGTCACAGTGCCTGGATTCAGACTTTTAACAGCTAGCCTGTGTGTGTACTGGGTAGGAAAGAGGTATTAAATGTATGTTTCTGAGAATGTGATCTCAGATTTGCAATAAATTATGTTGCTTAACCAGAAGGAAGACCAGAAGACTGCGTTTTCAGTGTGACCTGTGATGCAGATGGGATACTGTTTAACCGTGTGGTTCCCCCTTGCTGTTACATTGCTTTCTTCCTGTGAATTCTCCTTTCATCCTGTCTGTGAGACAAAAAAAAACAAAACGAAAGCCTAGAACCAGTGTTTAACAACCTGGTTTTATGGCTCTTAAACAAGAATAACTTCAAATTAAGAGGCGGAATTTGCTCTTGAATTAGCTGCTGTCAGGGCTGATCCATCACGTGGCTTTTAGGTAAGCCCAAAGGTTGGGATTTAAGAGAGCCTAACTTGCAGGTAGATGAGCCCAAAGGGAAGATGACAAGCACTCAACAAGCGTCTAAAGGGTCTGGAGCAGGTTGTGGTGGTGAGGGGGAAAGACATTGTAGGCAGCAATCAGGTTAGAAATCTCTACATCTAGCAATCTAAATTAAAGGGACTGGCAGAAGGCAAACCCCTCGGAGTATCTCGTAACTGCGCTTGGTGACAACCATTATTCAGCAGCTGACACATTAGTAGCTAAAACCATTCATTATTTTGTCCTTTACCCCCCGTGGGGAGAGCTGCTCTGAAAATCAATTCCCTTTGTTGCTACATCAAGATCCATAACTCTCCTCATCTTGATATTTTGTCCCCAAGCAATTGATGGTAGAAGAAAGGGAGCTCTGTTCCTTGAAGGGATGTGGAGTTAATATCAGCCTGCTGAGATGGGGTTTTAATCTCCCTACTGCATTTTAAATTAATCAGATATTTTTCCGAAATGCTTTACTGGTTTTGAATTGAAATAGGCTGCCTCCCATTTTTCCCACTTTCCTTTTGCCACACAGGCCAGTCAAGTCATTTTATAGTAACTGATAGTCCTGTAGCAGAGAAACCTTTCTACCAGCTCGTATTGTTGATTTTTATGGAGCATACCTTGAATTTATTTCCTTTTATCATGGGAAAAAAAATATTTAGAAACAAAGTTCTGGGCTCATGTTAGTCTAATAATGGTTCAGAGGCTAATGGAACAATTTTAAATGCATTTGGATTTCTACACAAATATTAGACCACAGATTTTCTGAGATACAGAAAATGGCTTTTTAATAACGGGATAGAATCCTAGAAATAGATATGCGAAAATAAATACATTGAAGCAAAATAAAATAGATTTCACTTGAGTCACTAGGAAGAACTTGGACTAGAAATCCATTAGACTGTGAAGAAGGAGAATTCTGAATTGTTACCAACCATCTCTATGTTTACTCAAGGAAGGGTCAGGTAGATAATTTTCAAAGTGAATATCTTCCCCTTGTGAATTGTAAAAGGATTAGCAGGGATTAAGTGTTCTCCCCGGTCCTGGGTGTTGGAATATTTTTTTGAGTGCTTTGTAAGTATGTTTTTTCTAGGGTTTAAAGCAAGGAATTCTGTCGTGGATTAGCTGTGACCTTTGGCAACACACTTCGACTTGCGTTTCTTTCCATTTATCAACCACAAATTTGGTCTAATATTCAACGACAGTATTTAGATGCTGCAGGCTTTCAGTTAACAAAAGATTTAGATGCACTAAATGAAGAATATTTTATAAATGCGTATATTGCAAGGTACTTCTTGAATGCCCCTAACGATGGTACTGAAGGGTGCGGGCAAGATGTATCGGAGAAATTTTATAGGGAGAAATGTCAGCATACCCTGTGGTCAGGTCTGCCTGTTGGGCATTTTAA